TTCTCAGCTTCAGTCAGCTGGCAACAGTGTGCATTGCAGGTAATGTAACTAACTAAACTAGTGACATCACCCAGAGCGTACAACATGATGATGTTATAGATGTACAGTGGGTACGGAAAGTATTCAGACCCCTTTAAAATTTTCACTCTTTGTTTCATTGCAGCCATATGCTAAAATCAAAAAAGTTCATTTTATTTCTCATTAATGTACACTCAGCACCCCATCTTGACAGAAAAAAACAGAAATGTAGAAATTTTTTGCAAATTTATTAAAAAAGAAAAACTGAAATATCACATGGTCATAAGTATTCAGACCCTTTGCTGTGACACTCATATTTAACTCACATGCTGTCCATTTCTTCTGATCCTCCTTGAGATGGTCCTGCTCCTTCATTGGAGTCTAGCTGTGTTTAATTAAACTGATTGGACTTGATTAGGAAAGGCACACACCTGTCTATATAAGACCTTACAGCTCACAGTGCATGTCAGAGCAAATGAGAATCATGAGGTCGAAGGAACTGCCCAAGGAGCTCAGAGACAGAATTGTTGCAAGGCACAGATCTGGCCAAGGTTACAAAAGAATTTCTGCAGCACTCAAGGTTCCTAAGAGCACAGTGGCCTCCATAATCCTTAAATGGAAGAAGTTTGGGACGACCAGAACTCTTCCTAGACCTGGCTTCAGACAACTGGCAATCGTGGGAGAAGAGCCTTGGTGAGAGAGGTAAAGAAGAACCCAAAGATCACTGTGGCTGAGCTCCAGAGATGCAGTAGGGAGATGGGAGAAAGTTCCACAAAGTCAACTATCACTGCAGCCCTGCACCAGTCGGGGCTTTATGGCAGAGTGGCCCGACGGAAGCCTCTCCTCAGTGCAAGACATATGAAAGCCCGCATAGAGTTTGCCAAAAACACATGAAGGACTCCCAGACTATGAGAAATAAGATTCTCTGGTCTGATGAGACCAAGATTGAACTTTTGGCGTTAATTCTAAGCAGTATGTGTGGAGAAAACCAGGCACTGCTCATCACCTGCCCAACACAATCCCAACAGTGAAACATGGTGGTGGCAGCATCAGGTTATGGGGATGTTTTTCAGCTGCAGGGACAGGACGACTGGTTGCAATTGAAGGAAAGATGAATGCGGCCAAGTACAGAGATATCCTGGAAGAAAACCTCTTCCAGAGTGCTCAGGACCTCAGACTGGGCCGAAGGTTCACCTTCCAACAAGACAATAACCCTAAGCACACAGCTAAAATAACAAAGGAGTGGCTTCAGTACAACTCTGTGACCATTCTTGACTGGCCCAGCCAGAGCCCTGACCTAAACCCAATTAAGCATCTCTGGAGAGATCTGAAAATGGCTGTCCACCAACGTTCACCATCCAACCTGACAGAACTGGAGAGGATCTGCAAGGAAGAATGGCAGAGGATCCCCAAATCCAGGTGTGAAAAACTTGTTGCATCATTCCCAAGAAGACTCATGGCTGTAGTAGCTCAAAAGGGTGCTTCTACTCAATACTGAGCAAAGGGTCTGAATACTTATGACCATGTGATATTTCAGTTTTTCTTTTTTAATAAATTTGCAAAAATTTCAACATTTCTGTTTTTTTCTGTCAAGATGGGGTGCTGAGTGTACATTAATGAGAAATAAAATGAACTTTTTTGATTTTAGCAAATGGCTGCAATGAAACAGGTAAGAAATTTAAAGGGGTCTGAATACTTTCCGTACCCACTGTACATCTTAGCTTTCCACTGCAAAAAGAATGAACACTCTAGCTGTTATAGTTTTATATTTTAGATTGATTTAAACAGCATTATGCTTTTCAAGGATTAAAGGGGAAATTTGCCAAGTTTAATGTGGATGTCCAATCAGTGTTAATGGTAAATGTAGTCAGTGGAAGCAAGACTGAGAAATAGCTGCATTACCAGTGCTGTCATTTGACACGTATAGTGACGTCATTGGTGTCAAGGAAGAACTACAAGCTCGTAGCTTGAAGGTAACGATATAGCTTCATGTGCATGAGACGCAGTCAAACTGCAGGATTTTAATCATCCACAACATTTGTCTGTAATATTCAAATAATTACCCATTTTGCATTACCAAAATGTCATTACAGTAGTTTGTTTGTATGGTTGTCAACAGTGCTGTTAAAGAGAGTTACTATGGTAAGGGTACGGGGTTAATAGAGCTCCCCTTTCAATACATGCTACACAGCTTGCCCCAACCATAGCTCTACTTACTGCAAAAACAATATGGCTGCCTAGTGAAGAGCAATTGTTTCAGCTAAGCAGTATGCGGTACATCGGTATATTGCCCAGCACAGCTGCTAACTTTAAGTGTGATCTCTAGGACTGATTCTGAGACGCTAGATAAATATGGGCCTTGGATGCAGGCTCCCATGTGTATTCAGTCCAGTAACATTTCACTCTTCTTCCGTATTTTGTTTCATTCTGTTGAGGACTGACTATTTGAGTAGCACAAATTTCAAATCACAAAGTATGCCTTTGTCAGTGGCAAAACATGCCTGTGGTGAGCTCATTTCAGCAACCTATTCCCCTACTCAGCCCAACCACATTGTTTGTCTCCATATCACATTTGACAGGCTTGTTTTTTTTGCGCCCCCCCACTCCTCCTTGTTAATAACACTATGGCTTGTATATGCGGTGCAGCGGGCGCCATGCAGGATGTCAGTCCACTGTTATTTCCTGCAAGCAGGACTGATAAACGGCAGTGGTTTGCTGAGCGTTTGACAGTTTGCTTATTTCCCTTTTGCTCAGAGGGCCCCTCATCAGCTAATTTCAACATGGCAGCCTCAGAAGCACAAGTCTTTGGGGAAATGTCATTTTTAATTAAATCCCAGGTCCTTTAAGATAAGCAGTTAGGCGTTAATTTCACCTAGGGCGTGACGTTGTCAGGAGCCCAGGAGCATGACGTATGTCTGTCAAGATTAATCATTATGCAAAACTGCCCTGTTTCTTTTTCTCTCCTCTCCTTTCCCCTTGCATTCAGAAGGAGTCCCTAACTGCCCAGCCAACAAAACAGTGTTGTATGAATGGAGCAAATTAACAGTCCCTAGGTGTTATTGTGTATGGTTCCCTTGACATCCTGGAAATGTTTTTCATAATGTCAATCAGACATTTCCAGGAGGTTCTAAATGCCTGTGTCTCCAATGGGGGTACTAGCGGTGCCTCAAATGGGGCAGTGCTCACCAGTATTGAGTAGCAGCTCTTCTGATATTTGTCCACATGAGTACCCTTAGCTCTTATTGCACACTGCCACCTGTGATATTTTTGTTCTCCCACTGGTATTCCTCATACACCCATCCTACTCTGCCACTAATTGGCTAGTGTGTTGGTTTGATTGGTTAGATTTGTCAGGGTCAGAGCCAATCTGAGTGGGAAAAAAATATTACCCACAAACTGCTAACACAGCTAGCTTCAGGCCTAGAAAACAGCACTGAATGTGTCCTTGTTCAATGGATAGAAAATGCTAAACTAATTTGGGTTAGAGTTGTACTAAATTAGATAGATAGATAGATAGATAGATAGATAGATAGATAGATAGATATAAATTAACGTACTGGCACTTGAGTGCCCCTAGGGGTAATTTGGAGTACTACAGGTGGTACATGAGTTTTATTTTATTTATTTATGTTAATTTAGAAAATACCCAGCAGGTATAATTCCATAATAAATTATACCATAAGAAGTTCACTAAAACTGTAAATGTAAGTATAATAAAGCACATTTTATATTCAGCATTCCTTTTTTCAATGCAATCATTAACTTGCTTAAAACCTAACAGAACAAGAAGCAGAAGAAAACAACAAATGCAATCAAGAAACAGACTGTGCCTGAAATCTGATCACTACAGTTGCCTCCCTGCCACTTCAAGTACAAGGCCATGTTTCTCAATATAAGTGCAACTGCAATTCAAGCTTAGTGTTATTGCATCATGATTAAAAAAAAAATTGATTTGCCATGAATTTAATGATGGATTCTAAACATTTGGAATGAAGCCTTGTGTTTCACTTTTCCAAGGTTGTTGTTTAATAAATCAGACTCTGATGGTGCCATATGTAGGCTTTTACCAAAAATATTGTGTGCTGGTGTGAAAAAATAGGGTACATTATTAACATTTGATATTAACATGTGACTTGCTTGATCACAATGTTATTAGGAAATTAAAAATAAATATACTGGGGGTGCCCTGTAGCTCACCTGGTAGAGCTGGTGCCCCGTGTACCAAGGCTGAGTCCCTCCTGCAGCGAGTCCAACCTGCGGCCCTTTGCTGCGTGTCATCCCCCCCCCCGTCCCTCTTCAGCTGTCACTATCGATTAAAGACAGTAAAAGCCCAGAAAAGAGAGGTCAGTCAGTAGGCTATGCAACTTGTACAGTGTGATGTAGAAACTCGAAGCTACCATTGCACATCCACTGAGAATGGACTTTACAGTGAAATAGGAGACATCTCATCATTTTTTAACAGTCATGCAAACTTACAAGGCTTCTTTTTTTTTTTTTTTTTTTTTTTTTACAAATTCAGTGGTTTCTTATCATTGTTCTATTAGCTCTCTGGTTGTTTTAAGTTTTCTAATGCAGGATGAGGCTGTTTATCAGAGAGTGAAGACTGAATATAGCTTGTGTTCAGGTCTTCAAAGTTTACATATTAAATAAAAATCTAAACTTTAAAAATAATTTCATTCAGTTTTCATTTATTTAATTCCTATGGGAGCCTGAGGGGGACAATTTATTGAATGTTCTGCCCACTGACACTGGTTCTGCCATATCTTCGGCCCCTGACTGTCAAAATAAAAGGAGAGCAACCCCAAAGAGGTCCCAGTGTCACAACATCTTCCTCACTAACCAACACTAACACACAACAACACTAACTACCCCCTCAATAAAACACTACAACAGATATGTGTCTGTGGTCACTGTAGCTAGGCAGCGCGCTCAGTAGCTTCGGTACTTTCCGCCCATTTCCGCCATTGCATCGTCTCGGAACTTCACATTTATTGCCTCCATTTTGCTCTCGTGTGTACGTGTGCGTGCGCAGTGTCGGTGTAAACTGGAGAGACAACAGGACCGAAAGCGGAGGCACTGAGAAATCTCTACAGAAATGGACGGGTAATGTTTTATCAGCGATGCTAACCGCCTCTAATGAGACTGATATCGAGCTAGCACAGAGCGCGGAGCGTGTGAATGCGTCGTTTTGTGGAGGAGCTGAGGAGGAGCTGAGGAGGAGTCGTACGCTTGTGTCAATGGGTTTCCATAGCCACGCGCTCCTCTTCCATTAAGGAAGTGCCTGATGTTAGCATGCTAGCTCAAGTTAGCTAACGCCCGCTGTTTATTCCGTTAGCTGCATTGTTGCTCGCCTTGATAAACATGATTTGCGCCCTAGAGACGTGTTAATAGTGCTCCTTGCTCCATTTCCCTCTGTTACAGTATTTCCCAACAGGGTCCCTAACGTAGCGGCTAGTGAAGTTTAGCAAACCGTTGTGCTAACAGATAACTACTGTACAGTAACGTTCATCCTTTGTGTTGTAGCTAACTAACGTTAGCTAGGTTGTTTAGTAAATCGACTGTGTGTTCTGATAAGCGTGAGCTGGGTCCTGCTTTTAAATCAGTCTGTGCCAGCACCACTTCAACAGGCGCTCCTGTTGTCCAGCAAAGTTGTACGGCGTTAAATGGCAGCTGCCGTTGATATTACTCTAGTGTTACACCGAGTTGGCTGGAAAGCGTATAACATTAAGTGTACATGGGTTTGCATGCATTGAATGAAACATGACCTCAGCGTTGCTTGTAAATGCGATGAATCATAAATGAGCCCCCTGGGAAATGGGTAGCTGGAAGAGCATGCAGTCAGATAATGTGTATGAGGTTATACAAGCATAGCTAAAGTTGTATACATGCATAACACAGCTGTACCCTTAAGCATTTATAAGAGGGAGTGTGAATTAATACTGGTATCACAAAGCATTGGAAGTCTGGATATTAGTGCTGTGTGATCTGGTAAAAGCATCCTATTGGGGTTATTCTGACAGATATTGTGATATGATCCACCCTTAGACATGTTTTCTTAAATCTGAAGAACACAATTTGTAGGTCAGGGAATCTCTACAGCACTACAGTACTTCATTATAATGCTGTTTGTCACACATCTTATTAGGGCTGCACGATATGCTAATACAAAAAAGCATATTGCAATTAGGTTTAGCAGATAATGTGATTGTGATATGATTCATGATTAGTGGAATTTTGCAATCACAATTTTAATTTTCACTAAACAAAACTAAAATTGTGATGGTGTGACATTTGTTGGCTGCTATACCAAACAAACAGGCCAGGGAATCTCTGCAGCACAACAGTACTACATCATAAAGCTGTTTGTCTCACATTTGACCTTTTGATTTGGATATTGCACTTGCGTTTTCATAATATTTTGATTAATTAACTAGAAACTAACTAGAAATATATATTAGTAGGTATTCAATGTATAACCAGAGAATGTCTAATAAGGGGAGAAGTTCCACTCTCGGTAAACTTCTGGCTTCTGAACTGTTGCAGTTCCACTCTGGTTCCATATGAGGGCGCTCACAGGATGAGTGCAGAATGAATGGCGGTCTATGGAGCTATACCCCTCAAAATCCACTTTTGTCAGGATATAATTTTTTGTCTAGTAATTTGAATGTTGCATTCAAAAGGGGATGCAAAGAAATTACACATTGCTGGGTGTTAGATTTTTTTAGAGTCACTTATTTGCTTTAAAAAGTCTTTTAAAATGTCAATGACGTCATACACATCGGACGTCAGCACGGATATGCTGAACGGCCAGAGACACCGCTTTACGGCAAGCCTCGAGTCACTTTGTGCTTCCGCGCTCGGCACTTCCTTTTCTCTCGAGGCATCGACAACACAGCTGACACAGGTTAGGCTCTCCCTGTCAATGCACGGGCTAGAAAGAGTTTTTGTTTTGCTGTTTTAAACACCACGCCGAAATATTCATATTCCCGCTTCGGATGCCACGATGCCATCAAGCGGGATCTCTGGTTGTAATCAGTCCTCCTCTGACCAATCAGCATTCATTAGCAGAATGCTAGCGTGTTATGGGCAACAACATCTCAACCTGTAAGAAATGGAAAGGACATAAGAACTCGTTCATTCAACTTTCGACCTATAACCCATGTTGAACTTGCAAAAACTACAATCAAATCTGAGATTTCTCAACGACAAGCAGGTGAAAGAGACAAATTTAGCCGTCTAGCTCAATAGACTCCCATTCATTTTGCACTCATGGGTGATCGCCCCCAGTGGAACTCTGGTGGAACTGCAACTAAAATTTGGTACAATGGGACTTAATAGAGAGTGGCCAGGCTCTCTGTAGACGGGCTCTGGTATATCTCTTTGGTAATCAGTTGCACTAATATTGTTGTCGTTGAGCTAGTATGTAAACCTAACTGGCATTAGTTTGTGTAAGCTGTCCTACAGGGTTCCCACGCATCCTTGATGCTCCTCCGTATCCTGGAAAAACCTGGAAATTTAGAGACTTATTTTCCTGTCATGGAAAGTACCTGCAAATGACTAAATAACCTGAGTGAATTTCTAAAATGGAACGGAATGCTCAGGGAAGCTCAGTGGAAATTGTGTAGGCTGTATCTACATGCATGCATGTTAATGATCCAATTTGTTGTTGTGTTTGATAAATACATGCACAGCGATGATAACTGTACGTGCAACAAACACTTTACTTTTTCTGGTAGATACATTTTCTGTAATATAACGTCAATTTTACTTGATTTGAATTAGAGGAATTAGAGCAAAACTGTAGTCAGTTCACTGGAGACCCCTCCGTTGAGGCCACAGCAGAGAAATTAGTTAGAGCAGCCACATGCGCCGCAAAAGCGAGCTAACTCAGAATGTCCAGTAAATGACGACCACCTACCTGTCCTGTATTGTCAATAAAAACTCCTAGAAATTTCTTATAAATAGTGTGAACCCTGGCCATAGTATGTTGCAGTTGTTGTTAAATAAAATACAATTTTCACACAACTTTGACAAAAAAAATGCATTATTGATCATTAGTGTGTAGAGATCATTTTCTTGATTAATCGATTAGTTGTTTGCTCCAGAAAATGGTGAAAAGTGTCTTTTGTCCTCAACCCAAAGATATTCAGTTTACTGTCCTAAAACATTTAAGAAATAAGAAAATATACCACTTGAGAAGCTGACCATTCAAAAGGATTAATCGCTTTTTCAAAATAGTTGCTGGTTTATTTAATAGTTGACAGCTAATCAATTAATCATATGATGATAAAACGGTTGTATTTTTTACAGTACTGATGTTTGTGTTTATTTTATTTATAATTTATTTTCTCAGTGGTCATTTCTAGAATTGGTTAATAATGTATATGTTAAGTTATTTAACATGTTAAATAATATTTAAACTTAATTATTTTTTAATAAAGTTATTTGTTTAAGACATCAGCCTTTTGAGTAGTCATACTGGTGCAAAATCTCAATCAAAGGTTGATCCATATCTGGTGTTTCTGTATCTGACTGTATCTTCTATTTTGTACTTTTATTTTGCTTTCCATTTTAAATCCCCTCATACTGACCAAATGCAAACTGTTCTCTTTCAGCATCAGTGATGTTGCAGTTGGAGTGAAGGTGAGTTTTCTGCTTTGCTTTTTGCTTAGTCAGTCACATGAGCCTGCCTTGTCCACTGTAGGTGTGTTCTGTTTTGCATTATGAAACAGCATTCACATTGTTATTGCCTGTGTACTGCTGCGGATGAACCACACAAACAGATTAGACTGAGATTAGACAAATGTTGCATTAACCCTTAAAGACATGGGTGATTTTTCAAACATTCCCACCTTGAGACTAGGGACTATGTTGCAGGTTTAAGATTCTTCACTGTCTTTTTCTCATTTTCTAGGGGGTAGCATAAATGTCATTTAGGGCAGTAAATAGAAATTGTTTTCATTATCTGCAGAATGTATGTTTTTATTTTAGCTAATCAGTCATTTATGGCCATTTCAACCAATGTGATCTAAAAGAAAAAGGATCCTGCACGTCATTATACTGAAACTTTCAGCATCTATTTTGAGATGCTTATTCAATATTTGACTTGCACAATCCTTTTTTTTGTCACATTGTCGGAATGGGCTTCCATAATAATGAGTGAAAAATGTCTGACAGATTATTTGGGCCCCACGTGGTTTCTTCAAATTGGATGTTGTTCCGTAACAGTTAGCAGTCCACACGCAAAGAAAACACAAAGAAAATCTGCAGATATTCACATTTAAAACAGTGGATTTTTTTGGCTTGTTAATTTGTTGGACTGATGGTTACAATTGGATTTACATTAGCTCATACTAAACAACAATAAGCTTTTGTAACACAACAAACATCCATGAAATTAATGTAAAGGGACACGCCATTAAGATTAGACCACATTTCATCTTAAAATCCTGTTCTTGACAGTGCATCCTCGTGTTACCACTAGAACAATCACATTATATTTAGAATATTAGTTTTTTGAGCTTTCATAGCATGAGAATGGCTTTAATGAAACATGGTAGGGCTTGTGTAAGCGCATTGTTGTAACCTGATTTGTTGAGTACCAGCTGCTTTTCTGTCTGCACAAAACAAAGTTAAAGTCCTCTCGAAGGGAAACGGAACAGTCATAAAATACTGATTCCTCTTATATGGCGGGTCTTTGCCATCCTGTTTATTTCATCAATATTTCAGTGTCATAGACAGAACCGAGAGGGCTGCCAGCTGTCACGAGAGAAACCTTTTCTCGGATTCTTGCTGCTTGTGCACTGTGTGCTCACATTTTGGCTCAAGTCAGACAACTTTATTACCCTTTCAATTTATTTGTGTCATGTCGCTGTAGCAGGGCCTGCAACATCTAGTTTATCGTAACCATAAAGAATGTTAGTGACAAAAGAACAATTGGTTCAAATTCAGTCAGACAGAAACAAGGAGGGGTGTATGAAGCTATTATAAAGTTGTGTGTGTAATGGCTCCCTAGCCAGGTTCCTCTTCATCCCATCAGTCAGGTTTAAGAGCACAGGGCGCCCGTCAGCTCTGGTGAGCCTTCTGGGACCTAGTATAGCTCAGCATGAAATGACACATCTTGACATCTTAAATTCAGCCAGATTAAACCCACACCAGAAAAGGAGGAGCCAGACCACTCTTTGCTGTTTTGTCTCCTTCCACCTACTCCTCTACCATCCTTTTGTCACTTTAAACTCTCTTTAGAGACCTCTGTTTTATTGAGGGCCTGTCTGGAAAATGGAAATAGTTTTCCTCATTATTTCACAACTGTGCCTGACTGTCTTGTCTGTCCTTTTCTTTTGTCCGCAGAGAGGATCAGATGAGCTGAGTATGTACAACAGTCCCAACTCTGGCATGAGCAGTATCAGCGGTGAGTTCGTTCCGACCACCCCTGAATAGGGAGGGGCTTGACGGATATTTGCATGAAGCCATTTGATCGCTAGTGACAGACGACATTAAAAGGAAGGATTAATAGGTGTTTGAAAAGTGAAACGGGTCCCTCGAGTTGAACCGTTCTCTCACGGGAGCTATTTAGTGTCTGTATAAAATCACACTCCTCAGTAGGTGGGCACCCACACACCACAGCATGTGACTGCAACAGACATAGTGGATACCACTGCATTTTAATGCCTCCTCACGGTGCAGATGATATCAGAGGCACCTCAAAGATTATGACTGAAAGAGCTGCTCATGCTGCCACAAAGAGAAGACGGACAAACACTAAATAAGAACAATGCTAAAGACGTACACAAGGGTTTTGTGGGATCTTTAATCAAAGTCCCAGTCTACTATTGCTACACAATGCCCCCATCTAAGCTAATGTCACCCCAGGGACCTGTCTAATAAAGTGGCTTCACAATATCAACCATATATAAAAGATTAAGTAGATAGATAGATAGATAGATAGATAGATAGATAGATAGATATAAAGAGTTCTGTCTAGACCTGCTCTATTTGAAGTGTCCTGAGATAACTTCTGTTATGAATTGGCGCTATACAAATAAAACTGAATTGAATTGAAATATATAGCCAGTCTTGCACAGGTGGATGGACGGTTCTTTAAATGTAGGATTTACCAGACCTGCTGTGAGCTTTCAATAAACATAGATTTGTAATGGAATTCTAACATTTAACATGAATAGGTTGGCTGCTGTGCTATGGCAGCTGCAGCTAACTGGTAAAAACTGTTGATCACTGTAACCCAAAGCCCAAGGTGACGTCCTCCTTGCTTTGTCCACAACCCACAGATAATTCTGTTCACGAACAAGAAAATATTCACATTGGAGAAGCTGAAATCAGAGAATTTTTTTTTTTCTTTCAGAAAGACTCAAAATGACTAATCGATTATCATAGCTAGCCAAATAAGCTCCAAACAGAATTATTAATCACACTGGGCTAGCTTCACTAACAAAGATGACTGCGAGGATACTGTGAATCTGTCAAGATTAGAAATGTACTTTCATTAATTTTGTTCTCAAGAAAACCAGCTTTAGATGAATATATTTGAACAACATTAATAAATAAATTGGGACAGTGGCCATGCAATCCCTTTTTATATTAACCAAAGGTTCACTCTTCTGGGCTGTAGGCATACAATATGAAGGCAATACTTAACAGTCAGCCAGTTTGTAGATAGACTTATCAGTCAGCTCTGTTAAGCGTCTGCAATGTTATTTTTAAAAAGTAATCCATTACTAATTATTTGTTACGTTCCTGTAGATTTAAGAGATGGACATTTCTAATTTCTTTCACGTTATTTTCTCAAACCATAACTGTCAGTGGTATTTTACATTATGGAAAGATGTTGATTCTTTAGCACAGGTGTGACAAAATGACACTATATTGGTATGGGACTTCACACTGACCAGTGCAGTGAAAGGCTGTCTGTTTGTTAGAATGATTGAATTGAGACCTGTTAGTGTCGATAGATGGTATATAAGTGATCTCACCGTGCACAGAAGCTGCCATGGTCTGTGTGGCGTGATCAGTCAGCATTTACCATTATGCATTATTGTGGGGAAAAAAACATCCAAACAAGCTAAACTGATATAGGGTTGTTCTACCACTGAGTGCTAAAATAGATTAAGAAGAATTCAGCCTCAGAGCTTCCGCTGATCCATTAGCAGTCTTATGCTGAAGGCTGAAGAGAGCATAAGAAACATGAAGCAACTGTAAGGGGATGAGCAAAATTACAACTATGTTTTTACCTTATCAAAGAATACAATATTTTTCCTAAACCTACTCCCAGGTAGGTTTGGGTCTGTGTGATTTGCCGGCAGGCTCTTGCTTTTAAAATAGGACTAGGTCAAGCTTTCAATGCCTTCGTGCTTTGTGCCTTTGTGTTGAAGAAGAAAATAAAAGCTTTATCTTTATAAATTTGGTCCAGTACAATCACCAGCCTTAAAGAGTAATCAAAAATAAATTAGGTTTTTGCAGGTTGTGGACGCTAGGAAGAATATCTGCAGCTGATGGGGATCCGAATAAATGAATAAACTCAGATAGCTGTATTCCTTTAACAGCCCTTAACATGCAAACATGTAAATCCTGTGTGTTTAAAAAAATAAAAATACACGTACATTCCCTGATATTGTTATCTGATATTGCACCTTACACAGTTGAACACATTGAGACCTGGGAGGAGGTTTGGGGAGCTATTTGGTGAAGGACAAGTGTGGTGATATTATATACACTCCCCTACAAAAGTATTGGAACAGTGAGGCCAATTCTTTTATTTTTGCTGTAGACTGAAAACATTTGGGTTTGATAAACATGAGACAAGAGATCAACATTTCAGATTTTATTTCCAGGTATTTATATCTGGACCTGATACACAACTTAGAAGATAGCAGCAATGAGCAAAAGTATTGGAACAGATGGACTTAAAATAGATTAAAGTGAATAAGACTTAATATTTAGTTGCAAATCCTTTGCTTGCAATAACTGCATCAAGCCTGTGACCCATTGACATCACCAAACTTTTGCATTCTTTTGTGATGCTTTTCCAGGCTTTCGTTGCAGCCTCTTTCAGTTGTTGTTTGTTTTGGGGGGTTACTCCCTACAGTCTCCTCTTTAGCAAGTAAAATGCATGCTCTCTAGGGTTTAGGTCTCGAGATTGACTTGTCCAGTCTAAAACCTTCCACTTCTTGTACCTGATGAACTCCTTTGTTGCTTTAGCAGTGTGTTTTAGGTCATCATCTTGCTGCATGATGAAGGATATCCCAATCAGTCTGGTTGCATCTTTCTTTAAATTGGCAGACAAAATGTTTCTGTAGACTTCGGAGTTCATTTTGCTGCTGCCATCATGTGTTACATCATTAATGAAGATTAATGAGCCCGTCCCAGAAAAAGCCATGCAAGCCCAAGCCATGACATACAAGCTCATCTGTGAAACACAATGGTACCTCCATTGTGTTTCACAGATGAGCTTGTATAGCAGATCCTTTCTTTCTCCAAACTTTAGCCTTTCCATCACTTTGGTAAAGGTTCATCTTTGTCTCATCAGTCCGTAAAACGTTGTCCCAGAATCTTTGAGGCTCGTCTCATCTCTTACTTTTTGGCAAATTCCAGCCTGGCCTTCCTATTCTTGCTAATGAGTGGTTTGCATCTTCTGGTGTAGCCTCTGTACTTTTGCTAATGAAGTCTTCTGCGAACAGTAGATTGTGATACCTTCACTCCTGCCCTCTAGAGGTTCTTGCTGATGGCACGAACAGTTGTTTTAGGGTCTTTTTTTTACAGCTCTCACAATGTTTCTGTTGTCAGCTGCTACTGTTTTCCTTGGTCTACCCGTTCAACGTCTGGTTTCTTTCTTCTTCAGGACATTCCAAATGGTTGTACTGGCTATGGCCAATGTTTGTGCAATGGCTCTGGTTGATTTTCCATCTTCTCTCAGCTTCACAATTTCTTGTTTTTCACCCATAGATGGCGCTCTGGTTTTCATGTTGGTTACACCTCTAACTATAAATGCACAGGCAAAACACAAATCTGAAACTGAGTATAGACATTTAGCGCTATTTATTGTTTGAATAATCAATGTAATAGGACACATTTGGGAAACAAAACACACCTGTCAATCACATGTTCCAATACTTTTGCTCACATGAAAAATGGATGGGTTCAAACATAAGGTGCTATCTTCTAAGTTGTGTATCAGGTCCAGATATAAATACCTGGAAATAAAAGCTGAAATGTTGATCTCTTGTCTCATGTTCATCTTTTGATGTCAAACCCAAATGTTTTCAGTCTACAGCAAAAATGAAAGAATTGGCCGCACTGTTCCAATACTTTTGGAGGGGAGTGTATTTTGAATTTTGTCAACAAATCTCATGCGCAGAGCCAAACCAAGAATGAATGTATCTGCTAGCAAATGTTGTGTGTATATCAAAAGCTGATATTTCTTCTTCCTCTGTGCCATCAGTGAGCCACACTTTTGCACTTAACGACATGTTCCTTCATTACCATGAACACACACACTGTAGTTTATTTGGCTCAGTCCCACATACATCTTCCTGCACCAAATACTCGCTAGATGAACGAATGTGAATTACTCTTTCTTCGTTTTTGTTTGGGCCTGAAAATAGTCCCCCAACAAATACAGTTTCCCCCTGTTTGAATAAGTTGCTGCTGTTAGGAAATGACTGTGCTTGGGCTGGGCTTGGTGCTGAGAGCCACAGAAATGGCAGAAATGTCAGCAAGCATTGGGAGACAGACAAACACATTACTGGTTTTGGTCTCTTCAGTCGGAATATAGAATAACTCAAGCCTTATCCTTAAAGTCCGAGATTTAGAGATGGGCTGAAAACACAGTTTGTTTTGGCCTTTTCATGTGATGTGTTGACAATAGGTAAAACACACAATATCGCCAACCTTATCCTTCAAATTAAGGGGACTATTATTGCATTGATTAGCACAGTTCATTAGTGTTTATGCTAATATTTTAGATGGGGCTTCCAATGGAAGTGACAGTAAAAAGCTGAGGGTGGAGGAGGCTCCACCATCTCGCGTGCTCCACATCAGGAAACTACCCAATGAGGCATCAGAGACCGAAGTCATCGCTCTTGGCTTGCCTTTTGGCAAAGTCACCAATATCCTCACGCTGAAGGGAAAGAATCAGGTGAGTGGACAAAGGTGTATTTGTAAGAACCATAAAACAGTTATTAGGCTTCAGTTTCACACCACAGGTAAATTCACACAGAGGTGTGGGTGGGATGGTGTCAACAGGATTGGTCAAATCTTGTTTCACTATCACACAAGTGCTTTGGACTCTTTTGGTCTTGCTATCTTGAACTGCATCTGAAACATGCCCACAACTCCATACAAAAGCCTATTGTCTGCCTGCTGCCGAGGGGCCATTGGAGGTGCTCGGCATTTGTCCCCTAGATTCCTGTCAAGTACAGCTGCTTTGTTCTCCCCATGTGTCGGCTAGTCTTGATCGATCGGCAGCTGCCTCATCTCCGTGTTGAGACAACTTCATCTGTGTTGGTCTGATACAGATTCTGTTGTTTGTCACCACAATGATGAATTACAGTTCACACAAATGTGTAGATGGTTTGTCCAAATTTAAGAAGATAACTAAGTAGAAATGATGCACCACAGACTAGCAAAGCAATGTTAAGTTTACAACCCTGTCTGACTGCTACTATTCGGCACAATCGGCTTCAGTAGACTGCTTACCAGAAGCTCATAAAAATGCCACCACCGATAAGATAGCAGGATTTATAGACCAGGATATGTGGCCCATCGGTGTGGATGTCAATGTCTTATCCATTGGTTTAATCAGTACCATGTGTTTTCTTGTGTGGTGTCATACAGCTGTACTGAGTTTTGAGATAATTAGTTTGAAGTCATTCAGATTTGCTTGAACTTGAATTGTGGAAAAATTGACAGCTATATTCGTTGAATGATAACAGTGGTGGGGGATTTACCAGAGCTTTGTTTTCTCCTCTCTCCAGGCGTTCTTGGAGATGGGGACAGAGGAGGCGGCCATCACTATGGTTAACTACTACACCACTGTAACTCCTCATGTCCGCAATGTCCCTGTCTTTATTCAGTACTCCAATCATAAAGAACTCAAAACTGATGCTGGCAATCAGGTTAGTAGAGCCTGACTAACAGACCACCGGGACATTCTGCTAAAAGTCTGCATGATTTAGCAAAAACAATTGACCTTTTGGTCAGCTGTGTTAATACTTTGATATTCCAATATAACTTGGGCTCTTAAACTTGAAATTAATAGTGAGTAAAATGGCTCACCATCTTGTCTGAGCTCCATCGTTAAAGGCAGTGACTAATCGTTTGTGTTTGGCCGTAGCGGACCCAGGCGGTGCTTCAGGCAGTGTCAGCGGTCCAGTCTGGCGGGTCGCCAAGCTCAGACGTACAGGAAGCGCTCGCTGCAGCCTCAAGTCCGGTGCTGCGCATCATCATCGACAACATGTTCTACCCTGTGACGCTGGACGTACTGCAACAGGCAGGGAACAGTTGTTATGACCCCCCTCAAGTTGTTCAGTTGTCGTGCGACACAATGTCCACCAAGTTTGAATATTAACGTTAAAATTTTCTTTGTTTTGTTGACAGATTTTCTCCAAGTTCGGCACAGTCATGAAGATAATCACATTCACCAAGAACAATCAGTTCCAGGCCCTGCTGCAGTTCAGTGACCCCGTCAATGCACAGCAGGCCAAACTGGTAAGAGTTCCGCTGTTAACTCCTCACTGTCTAGTTAAGTGTCTGTCAGTAGTTTGCAATACCAAATGTAATAGCTGAACACAAATTGGTGATTTTTCTTCCCCCTCCCAGGCGCTGGACGGCCAGAACATCTACAATTCATGTTGCACACTGCGTATCGACTTCTCCAAGCTGGTCAACCTAAATGTCAAGTACAACAACGATAAGAGTCGTGACTACACGCGACCCGAGCTGCCTGCTGGGGACGGCCAGCCCAGCATCGACCCCTCAGTGGCCGCTGCCTTCAGCAAAGACTCCAACTCCCTCCTCGGTAAGATCCCAGGTAGATCACGCTTTTATTTATCTTCCTTTTTACACTTTTTGTATTTTTAAATTATAAGATGCATCCTTGCTCAGTGTTGTAATGCCGCGGTGTAGTGGAAGTGCTGCTCTCCATTCCATGATTGTCTCGTCTGCTTCCCGTCAGGAGCCCTGAACCCCCTTAGCGCGGCAGCGGCAGCTGCTGCTGCTGCAGGGAGGGTGGCTCTGGCTGGACAGGCGGGGTCCAGTGGGGTCCTGCTGGTCAGCAACCTCAACGAGGAGGTTAGTAACACATCTACACACACACGCACAGACACACACACCAGTCAGATGGACCGTCTTAAGGCCACAACTCCTACCCACCACCTTCATCCCTCTGTTCTCTTTTAATTTGCTGGTTATGGCCAGTTGTCTTCCTTGTGCTGCCATTTCCATTTTCATTGTCTTGTGTCTGTCAGAGAGGATACATTCAGACTGTCCATGGTGAGATTTTTCTGTACATATTTGACCTAGGACGTTAACTTGAATGACTGTGTCAGGGTCTTATAAATCCAATAATCTGTATCTCAGGACTTTAAATGTCTTAAATATGATTTTAACAGGCATTAAAAATGCATCACATTGATAAAGTTAAGCTCACTTGTTAAGTTTTTCATACTTGCGTAAATATGTTTTTGAGAAGAAATTTGTATTATCAGGCTGAAACTTAAAGACGAAACAGATTTTCCTTCACATGCTTTGTAGCTTTTTTTTTTTTTTACCAGTTTGGTCTTAAATGGGTCCTTAATTGCATTCATATTAGTCTGAAAAGGTCTTTTAAAAAATTGAACCTGCAGAAACCCTGTAAACTAAACCACTTAATTTGGCGTATTTACCTGCCACACTTCTGTGATCTTGGACAGTCTTTTTTATATATGCAATGTATTTAAACTCTTTTAGAAATGTAGAAAGCAGAGAGCAGCTTCTGTAAGAACCAGAAGGTGGCTTTGTCTTTTTATTTTCTGTTTGTAGTCAGGGTGATAATATCTGAGCCAGAAAACTATTCTGTATCCCTAGAAAATCCTCCCGTCATTTCCGAGGCATTTACAGAACATTTTGAACCTCAGAGGAGCTGTCAGGCTGTTCTGATAGTCACTCATCAGCTGTCCCAGGAAACAACTGAATATTTTTTTTAAAGATGGACTCATTCCGGCTAGTTTGGATATGAAACAAAAAAAAATGTCTAACCTTTTCCTTTGCTGTATTTTCTAGTGGGCCTTGCTGTTGTTTTTATTTTTCCCCTTTTGGTCAAGACTCATTATGTCCCCTGTAAGAGCGAGGGGATTTGCTGTTTTCTGTCACCGCTCCCCTCTTTCCTTCTCCAATGTTCTGCCCTCCCCTCCTCTTGTCAAACTGTACCTAACTCGGCTAACTGTCTCTCTTCTGTTTTTCTCTCTAAGCTCTCCTCACCTTCCTCAGCTCATATGAAAGCTCATATGAAATCATTCTGTGGTCCTCTAACCCCGTGTCTCAGTTCTGGGAACAAACACCTGCCTCTGAAAAACGCTTGCTCGCTGTCTTTTCTCCCTTTTCCTCTTCTGTGTGTTTTTTTCCCCCTTACGGTGACTTAAATAGCATCTAATTTGTCTCACCTTAATGTCTCTTTGCTCATCAGTCTGTTCTCTCTGGCTGTGAATGAATGTGTCATCCCGGAGCCTCTGACAGTATCTCAACCATTCAAACTGAACCCCTGATGTTAAGATACTGTGCTTAAGCCTTCTTTTAGCCTCTTGGACTTGTGTGAACACCACGTTGTTGTTGTTTTTTTCACTCCAGTGGCCTTCACATCAACTCTTGCATGCCAAACTGTACTGCTAAACAAAAAATCTTCAACTGCATGGTCTCTTAACTAATCTTTCCCCCCTCAGCTCTCGCTCTCACGCTCTCGTAGCACCATTGTCCTCACTGAAAGATTGTAGATCTTCAGACTTCCAACCTGCTGCATGTTGTTTTTTATCCCATGGTTATGACTTTATATTGCTGATTTTATTATGATTTTGACATGAATGTACCTTTACCTCATGCTTGTCCAGGGTGAAAGACATTTGGCGCAAGTTATTTGCTGTATTTTGACTAAAGAAAACATTGATCCAAGCCATTATCTCTGACCAAACTACCTGCATTATTCCAGTGTACTGACCTATATTTTATTTTTTGTCCCTCCCCCTCCTCACTTTATTTTTTTTATTTTCCCCCAATTTGCATTTGCCTCCCTGTTCATCCCCCCCCCCATCTCTCTCTCTCTACTCCCATCTCTTCTCCCCTCCATTCATCCTGCCTCCCCCTGTCCTCATGTCCTGCTGGGGGACTTTTAAACTCTTCAAACGACCTCTTCTTCCTCCACCTCCTGCTCCCACATTAACCGACCAAACCCCTCCCTCCCTCCCTCCCTCCATGACTCCTCTTCCACCGCCTGCTCCCCTCCATGACCCACCACCTCCATCACTCTCCGGGGGGAAAACAAAAACCACCATTCCTCCTACCTACCTCCGTTCTGGATCGATCTGTCCATCTCTACCTCCGCTCCGCTCCGACTCTTCTACCTCTCTACCTGTCTCACGCTGCTTGTTGCTCTTCTCTCCCTCTAAAGATGGTTACGCCCCAAAGTCTGTTTACCCTCTTCGGTATGTTATCGTTAGCTCTCTCTCTCTCTCTCTCTCTCTCTCTCTCTCTCTCTCTCTCTCTCTCTCTCTCTCTCTCTCTCTCTCTCTCTCTCTCTTTCTTTCTTCTACTTTCTCTTTTTGTTCTATTTCCATTCTATCTTTGAGACATTTGTCATTATTGTTATTATTTTTATTATTATTATTATTACTGTCATTATTACAAGCTTATATATATTTGTTTGCGCACAGTAGCTTTTGGTAATTTGTAACACATTTTGGCCCCCTGTTTATTGGTTTGGGTTAATGTTGATTATTTTGCCCTAAACTCCAATACATAGTAATCTGTTAATGCACGGTTAAGTCATTATTTTTGCATGCTGTTTTTATTTATAGCCATCTGACACAGCTTGATAACTTATCTGTTTAGAGGGTGTCTCTTCTCTCTTTACCTGTTCTTTCTACACACCTCTCACTCTGAAGTCTACTCAAAAATTCTCGTGTGTACTCTTCTATTCTCTCTTTTCTCTTTTGTTTCTTGTCCTTTAAAATATCCTTTTTGTCTCCGATGTTAACTTTTTGTTTTCCTAACTGTCTGCTTTCTCTCCACCTCACCTTATTTTCTCCTCCTTGCGCCCACCTGTGGCTCTAATGCAGGAGTGTACGGCGATGTCCAGAGGGTGAAAATTCTTTACAATAAGAAAGACAGCGCTCTCATTCAGATGTCAGACACCAACCAGGCCCAGCTAGGTGAGCGGACGTCGAAACCGCCAAAGTCCACTCATTCACATCTTAATTGTCTCAGGATGCTAGTGGTAGTCATTGTCAGGCATGGCTGTCTTTTAATTTTACTCTAAATGGGACCATAATTTACTAAATGGACATCATGCTGTATGGAAGAAACCTTGAAACTAGAGACCATAAACTTATTAGGAAACTGTTAACTGTTTACTGAGCTCATGAATCAAGTCAAAAGTCTAATTTCTCCGCTGTACATACAATGTGTGATGACTGTATGGTCTGTCTTTTATTGCAGCCAATGGAGCTGCCCCCTGCTGGTCATTAGAAAGAATGCAGGTTTAAGACACTTTCACGTTGGCTTCACTTAACAGATTCAGAACCACTATATATACTGTTAATACTCACGTCCCATCTGCTGCTCAACTCGCTCCTTCAGGCTGCTGCCAACAAGAAGCTCATTTGTCTTGAGAATCTTGATGTTGATTCCAGGACAATAACTAGCTCGTCTTGTTGTTAAACATACTTTACCGTTCGTCAGCCATACGCAGTGTTATTGACTTTGAGTCTTGCTAGCATAACGTTAGCTTTCTGGCTTGTAGCTTAGCCAACGCGCTCTATGAGCGATGGGAACTACAAATATTTGACAATTGATCATGTTATAGGTGGGATAATTCATTCCTAATAATGGTCACCTCGTTGGGCATTATCCTTTACTTAACTAACTAAATGGATGTGTACAAGAATTGTCTCTTTAGCAGCACCAAGTTTCTGTAAACAGATCATTATTCCCAAGACTGATGACAAGAACATAATAATGGATCTAGTTTTAGTTGTGTAGTGTGTCCATATTTTTCTTATTATTGGCTTACAGCCAGTGATTACCACATCCTCACCACTGACCTTCCTTTCCTTTGACACGTCCAAAGCAATGAGTCACTTGAATGGCCAAAAGATGTACGGGAAGATCATCCGGGTGACCCTGTCCAAGCACCAGACGGTGGCGCTGCCTCGTGATGGCCTAGATGACCAGGGCCTGACAAAGGACTACGCCAACTCCCCACTCCATCGCTTCAAGAAACCCGGCTCCAAAAATTTCCAGAACATATTCCCACCATCTGCCACCCTCCACCTCTCCAATATCCCGTAAGTTGATGAGAGTGTAGCATGTTAATGTAAATGGAGTGTACTTGTATAGCTCCTTTCTAGTCAGCGCTTTTCATTTACCCATAAACACGCATTCATACAACACAAACTAATACTCATCCATACAGCACAGCATCTGGAGCAATTTGGGCTTCAGTATCTTGCTCAAGGACACTTCAACATACTGTGGGAGGAGCCAGATCGAACTGCCAACCTTCTGATTAGTGTTCAGTTGACGCTTTTTAAGTCTCACCCGTTCTCCCTGTGGTCCAATAACAGTGAAGCAAGCCTCCTTACTTAGATGCTATGCTCAAGGTTTGTCTATGTTGAAGAGTGAACCAAAGACGGTGAAGACCCTTATAGGATAAACACATCTTAAGTTAGCTAATGTTAGCAAAACGTTGGCTAACTAACTAGATAATTTCAGTAGTAACAAACAAAAACAAAAGATCTGTTGTTTGCTAGCTAGTTACATCTGAAAGATAATGTTAGCAAAACGCTAGCTAAGTTCTATCAAAAGTTAGTTGGCAAATGTTTTGCTGACATAAGCTAACCTAAGATGTGACTATCTGTTAAACATCTTCAATGGTTGTCATTTCAAAATAGATTAGCCTCCCACATAGCATATCTAAGTACAGGAAGGGAGGAAGTTGACCATTGGACCAGGTTCATCATTATATCCCCCAACCCTAAAGCAGGTGTATTACCGGCACCGCTGTGGAAATATTTAAATGACACCCGTAACAACTTGGCTTAGAGGGCCGGTTCATCCATATTTCAAGACTTATTGTCACACTTCTGTTTTCATTGAAAAATGACAAAAATTAAAGTGCAACATTTCTTATCAGAAACATTGGCTAATCCACAGAACCCACTGTGAAAACTGTAGACTGGGTCCCGACTGTAATCTGTCACCTTTTATTTTCACAGACAAGATGTGACCGAGGATGACCTACGGCTGCTCTTCTCAAACGCTGGAGGCACTGTGAAAGCATTCAAGTTTTTCCAGTACGTAGACCTATCCCATAAACTAGCTGGAGGTGGCCTGATAAGAGTTCCGTCTTGGAACGCTTGGTGCCTCTTGCTGTAGTTCATCATTCTGTTCGTGTTGCACCCCAGCAGAGATCGTTCCCTGCGCCGCTCACTGCTGTGTCATGTTTTCCAGGGATCGTAAAATGGCTCTGATCCAGATGTCAACAGTGGAGGAGGCCATCCAGGCCTTGATTGACCTCCACAACTACAACATGGGAGGCAACCAGCACCTGAGAGTCTCCTTCTCCAAGTCCACCATCTAAACTCCTGACAGTGCCAGGGTCTACTGTCAGAAACCTTTCGAGACTGTCTGGACACTGGGGAGCAGGGGGGACCACATTGATTGAATCAGTTTTATTGTTCGGGTTTTGTTGATCCTGTCATTCCTTGAGAGAGACTGAAACCTTTGACTTGCATCCTTTTTTAAAGAGAACAATTGAGTATGTTGCAGATACTGGATCCTCCCAGCTATTCTTACCTGTACCTCTGTATTTTCTATGTCAAACAAAACATTGACATGAATGATTGTCCCCCTGTATGATAGGTTGATGTAGATTGGTGTTTAATTCTTGATTTAGTTGAAAAGATACAGTAATTATGTGCCTTACTTGACAATATCAACTGTTTCTACAGCTGGACATGTTCATTAATTACCCTCGTATGCTTTTGAGGCACATGGATATTTTTGGAGGTCGGTGAGAGTCATTATTACAGTTTTTGAAGTCAACCAAGCGTAGCTTTTTTTGTTGTGTTTTAAGAGTTTTAGATTTATGACACTTCTTTTGAGTTCAGGAGAGGATTTCCTGAGGCAACATGTAAGTTTCTACAGCAGCCTGCGACAGGCAGTTTAACTTGAATTCCATTATTCCACAAGTTACGTTTCAGTGCTAGGTTGTTCTGCCCCAGCTTGATTTCACACACCGTCACATATCCCAACGTGGCTCGTGGCTTAAGTATTTCTTTATCTGTGTTTTTTGAAGCCTTTTTCCCCCCATAGCAGTGAGGTGTAATTGTCAGTGACAATGTTTTTTTTTTTTTCTAAGCATGTATAGCTGTGATAGGACTTCACATCAGAAAGTGTTGCATGCTGTGGAAGCAGTTTGAAGATTGAGTCCACTGTGATTTTATTTTCATGTGACCGTTTACTCGAGAGGGCTACTCAGTTGGACCAAAGTTTCTGTGCCTTTAGTGTTCCTTTAATTCATTTTAACAAAAAAAAAACAAGCATTTGAAAATACTGAAATGATGCATTTCAGGGAAGAATGCACAGAATTTTAAGTGTCAAGTTTATTCCCGTTTCTTTTTTAATACCCGACCTCTTGACCCAGAGGTGCTCAGAAATAATAGTTCTGTATATTTTTTTCTTCCAAGTCCAATTTTATACAGCTCAAAATGTAAGGATTTGGTATAGGTCTGAAGAGGCGCAATTAAAGGCTGAATTATTTTCTAACAAAAGGGGAGGTGCGACTTGGTTTCCTGCTTTTTTTGAGTTTTCCCTCTCATGGTCTCTCTCGTGTATTCTGCATTACTTCTGTAGCATGCCTAATAAAACTGTTCTGTAGCTCTGCGTTCACCTCCTCCTGTCTCTCTTCTTTCTCTGTTCTGTCTGCTCCCGCTCACTTCTGAAACCATCTTCAGTCCCAGGGTGGGAAGGAAGCCAAAATTCATTTTGGAGCCACTTGAAAACAAGCTCCATAATACGCCAGATTGAGCCCTCTGATGGTACTAATTCACAAGACAAGAAGTACATTTTGTTGATGCGTTTCCCACCCTGCCAACTGACACAATCTATTCCTTTGATGTCTTGCTCTCCTCTTCTCTGGTAGTTGCCTATTTTCTAATCAGTCTCTGAGGGCCTCTGCACTCCTAACAATCTATCTGATCTATCTACTTGCACTCACACCTTTTATCAATTACATAAATGGCCTCAGTTGTTATCTTCCGAGCGCTCTGCGTTTTCCTGCCAGTTTTGGAGCGTCTTTGAGTAAAACTGCTACGTACACAAGCATGATCATTAAGACCCACATTGTATGGCTTCAGAGTGCCAGCTACGGCGCATTTAGCAGCTAAAGAGCTAATAAACTAAACCAGAGCTAAAACAGGGTGTCTTAAAATCCAATATTCTAAATTTTAAGCCTTAAAATATCTTGTATATGATTTTGATGGCTTGTAAAACCGATAGGATCAATGAAGTTATTTGTATTTCATTTTTCAGTCTCTCTTGAATGTGTTTTTGGGAAAATGTTGTATTGAGCACAGAAACGACCAATTTTCCTTCAGTTCCTTTGGACTCTTTCATCAGCGTGGATGTGAAGTAGGTCTTAAATTGCATTCATGGTCTCAATGAGTCTTAAAGTTAACCTGTACAAACTGTTTGCTAACATGTTAGCCATGTCAGCTTTATAAGGTGTATGTCAATGCTGCGAGGGGACCGCCACTGATTTTAGTTAATCAGGTTGTATGAAGCCTTTAGTGTCTCCAGAGGGAGCTGTGTGATGTCCAATAGATGTCCTCAAGTGATGTCACTTGAGTCTGTCATTCGGTCCGAAGACAACGAGAACAAATAATAGTTGGTGTGGAGTTAGAAGTGAGTTTATCACGTTCTTGTCTCCGTTGTTAGACACTGCTTGGGCTGGAACAGTAAGTGTGTTCTCTCTCATTATTAATGAGTCTTCCTAAGAACTAGCTATGTGTTTACACAGGAAAACAGTACGTTGTTACCTCAATCCTCTGTCACTGCTGCACATAGGATTTTAGAAATACAGAGGTTTCGGGGTGCCCAGAGTAGTTCACCTGGTGGAGCTGGCCCCCGGGTGCCGCCGCTGGGTCCTCGCTGCCTCGGCCCAGGGTTTGGGTCCGACCTGCTACCCTCTGCTGCGTGTCATCTCCTCTCTCTCTTTTTCCCCTTTCCTCTGAATCTTCAGCTGTCGTTGTCCATTATAGTGTCTTCACCCATATTGTTTCTAACAAGATTTGCTTTAAAAGTAGCCCCATTATGCAGGAATCAAATATTAATAAAATCCTTGCATGTGTCCATCTAGATTTTGGCTTTCTCTACGATTTCATTTGTGCACATCCCACTCTTTTCAGCCAGTACTTTGCCAACTTCAGTATCTTTCAAGGTTTGAAAGCGTGGACTGAGCAGGCCTCTAACTACGATCCGCCTCTTCTTCAGGATGGTCTTTTTGTGTTGGCAGATAGCTGCTGCTGAATGCAGAAGATCTGCCTTTAACTGTGGCCCAAAGGGAACAAAACACTTGCAGCTAATAGTGAGGACTGTAACACTCATTTCTATGGAAGCCAATTTCTGCCAATGTGACAGGAAAAAAAGGATTCTGTAAGTAATTTTAATGAGAAACTTTCTTAAAATATTGCCATAGTATTTCGGAATAATGCTGTTGTGCTAAGAACATGTTTTGATGCCAGCAAAAAAGCCAAATATTTTTTCACTTAGAGAAGAAATGGTAAAATATAAAAATCCTTTTCTTTTATGACCTGAAATTGTTTTTAGTTTCAGTAGTTCACAAAAAATGGCCAGGAAGTAGAATCCCTTTGCACTACTAACCCTCCACGTCTGACAGAGTCCTGTTAGCTCTGCTGGCCAAACAGGTGACACTGTGAGCTAGCAGCAACCGTGATGATGATGATGAAGATGATGGGGGTGGAATATGTGGAGTCTGTTGTGTGTAATATAGTGCAAAATCTAAACAGCTAGTTTAACTACATGTAGTTCACTCCTCCCCAACACTGATAATAAAGCAAACGTACAATACATAAAAGAGGGGACACTGCATGCATTTAATACGTTTAAGGATAAATCTGGTGCTATTCTGTACATTTCTTATTGTCAATAAAAGATCTAAACCAACAACGTGGCTCTCAGCTCCAGGTTCCTTAGTTCCTACTGAAGACCTAAATATTTAAAAATAAAAAGTAATTCCCTTAAACAGCTGGACACCAGTTTTTATCGAACATTACTCAAACAGGAGGAAATAGCGCGTTTGTTGGGGACTATTTTCAGCAGTGAATTAATCCACATTTGGTGCTCTAGTGAGTGCAGCAGGATGTTGTATGGGGAATTATGTTAAAACAGTGTGGCTCACTGATGTGTTTTTCATCGTTTTTGGACAACAATGGAGCTAATGGCACAGAGGAATACTGTATCAGGCTGTGGTAATTAAGACCCGAGCAGTGAAATGTAAGGAGTTATGATTCTCCAGAATGGATCGCCTTTCTGGCAGCTGCAACATTCCTGAAAACTCATGAAACTCGCTACAAAATTCAACTGTACAAGAAATGTACAAATTCTATGGGTGCCGATCAGACACATACGACCAACATGTATGAAAATTGGTATGCACGTGTATCATGACCAGACAAGCAAAAAAACCTCTTGGACCCATACCCCAAACCCAACAGGTAGTTGGCCATTTTGAGTTTAGTGGTCATTTTCCGAGTTGTGATTTTTATATTTCCTAGGGAATTGATTAGATCGACTTCAAAATTGGTAAGAATGTTCTAAAGAAGTTCATGATGAAGAGTTATGATAATCTTTACGTCAAAGGGCGTGTCTGTGGCCTGGCGTCGAAAATCAACATTTCGCCATGGAACAGGACGTTGGTGTAACTTCAGTTTACATTATCCAATCTGCACCAAACTTCTATTGTTTGATAAGAGTCCCGCCCTGAACACATCTACATGCAAAAATTGCAACAAGAAAAAACCCTATTGGAAACTGGAAATAAGCCTTATATGACAATATCGTGATTTCCAACGCTACAGTGTGACGTGGCTGCAGAACACCCCGATGTGCGTGGACTAAATAAAGCTTTTCAAGGGTTTGTATGGAGGTCCTGTGGTAATGCAAATACTGTTTTGGATAAATACTTTCTACAGTAATCTACATTAATCTATTAACCCCCGGGGCCATTTCTGGCCCTCCATCCCCCTCTCTCTGGCCCTCGTGACTGTTATTTTTTATAGTTTTTTCTAGAGGTTTCATATAAATGTTAACTACTCATTCATATACAATTAAAAAAAAACACAATTGAAGGGTGCGGCTGCCCCAGGCCCACAGTTCCCTAGGGGCCCCAATCTGCTTGACTGAACATGTATTTTTATTGCATTTTTCATATATAATTAGAACCAAAACAGCTCAGACATAAGTAAAATGTGCATGTAAGAAAAAGAAATATAAGTAAGGTTAATGGGCATTGACTCCATCCCCAACCCTCAACCCCCCACCACAGAGAAAGGCAAATTCCAGGCAAAAAATAGGTAAGTATATAGCGAACAAGGTTACAGGAAGACTTATTTTGCAATAAAAAATCAAATGAATAATAAATTCCAGAGACAGGGAAACCATTGCAATAAGGAAGATGACAATATGTTCTAAGTAAGGGTCCCAAACTTTATAGTAACTTTATAAAAGCGTCCACCGAGGAGTGGAGCACGAGATAAATTCATTGGGTCCATTATAAGATTGTGCCATGGCTTTTTTGTTGGAGTAACATCCTTAATCCAAGAGCAAAATGTTCTTCCTGGCAGCAAAAGTCAGTAGATAGAATAACCTCTTATGTTTGATATTTTTAATACGAATATCTGGCAGACCAAGAAGGAGGCACGTAGGGTCTAACTCTGTTGGAACACCAAAAATAACAGAGTTCTTCCACAATACCAGACGGATATCTTTGTACACGTGACCAGAAACAATGAATATAAATACGAATGTCAGAGTTACATTTACAGCAGAGCAGAGACGTGTGAGCGTCCTTTTTGTTTTTAAGAGCTGCTGTGATTTATGTGTGACATAGAATTCTAAATTGAGTAGATTTAGTCCGATTACAGATAGACAATTGCATAGCCTGGAGGCACACTTCCTGCCAGTCTAGGTCAATGGTTCTCAACCTGGGGTCGCCAAAGCTTCACAGGGGTCGCAAGGCCTTCTTTAAGGGGTTTAAGAAAACCTAGAAAATACACACAGTAGGCCTATATCTCTTAGATAGAATGTATGACATGTAATACAGACAGAGAATTGTATAAAAATCATCTCTGATCAATATTCACAGGAAATAATCTGCTCAAATTCATCCAAACCTCTGGTTTTACACCACCGTTTCATTGAACAGTTTAATATAATATGAAATATTCATAAAACATGTCACTGAGTCAGGGGTTGTCAGTTTACTAAATGATAGAAAAGGGCTCCCTTCAGGAAAAAGGCTGGGAACCCACTGGTCTAGGTCATTGATACAGATGCCCAGATCTCTGTCCCAGGCTATAGTGGGAGGTTAGACATAAGTTGGAATTTAGGGCTCTATAGAATACAATATAAAATGTGTTTCTTGGAATCCTGTTGAGACAAGGTGTTAAGGGGTTATTTACTGCAGCGCACAGTCCTCTACTGCGTATGGAGGATAAGTAGAACATACTCGAATTATCTTTAGCCTCTTGGCATATTTATTTAACAGTAAAGTGCGGACCGATGTGCCGCCGTCTCATCAGCATGGCTCAAACAGAACAACAACTGGTGCTCACTGTGAGCGTGGTGACGTCTCGTCTTGCGTA